CCGGCCAGCACAGCTGATGTCTGCAAGAGATGTTAGGAGCCAGGAGCTGCAAGTGGGCAGCTGTTTCTGTGCCCAGTTGGACTCTCGAGGGCCACAAGTGTAATAGGGTTTAGGGAGAGTTTACTTTATGGGGTTTGCGCTGGTTTCTCAGCGGATGCAGAGGGAGGTGGCAGGGCCCTTGGAGGACCATGGATTCTCCAGGACATTTCCCATTTGTCCCTGAACCAAACCATTCAGAGTCCAAGGGTACCAAACAAGTCTCTTGTGAATATTGTGGACTACAGAATCTGCAGGAAGTGTGGAAAATGGAGTTTAAAAAGATCTTCACGAGCCTGCTCCCTTAAAATGTCAATTATAGTCCTTTCTAAGCTGTTTTTGTTTTTTTGAGACAGGGTCTTGCTCTGTAGTTCAGGCTGGTCTCTAACTCATAGTGATCCTTCTGTCTCAGCCTCCTGATTACAGGTGTGTGCCACTATGGCTGGCCTTTCTAAACTTTTTATCTCTGTGTTTTAAAATAATGATTGTAATCATAGAACCCTATTTTTATGTTGATACATAGTTTTAAAGATGCGTCATTCTAAATTGACATGATTGCACATTTGTGGGGTACAGGGTGACATTTCAATATATGTGATGATTGTGCACAATTTATCATTTCTTTGTGTAGGTAATGGTGGATAGTTTTTGAAGTGTGTTTTATAGTTGTATATTACAACACTGGGTGCCATGTTTTTTTTTTTTTAATTTTAAATTTAATTTATTGGTACATTCTAGGTAGGCAGTACAGTCACATTCATTACTGGGATCTTGTACCTTTACACGCCAGATCTCGGTTCTCATTTTTTCCCCTTGTCCCCACCCTCCCTTCACCCCTTCCTCTCCTCCCCACCTTCAAACACTTTAATTCCATTTTTACATTTTCTCATATTTTTTTCCTTTTCCCTTATCCCCCTTTCCCTATCCTTCTCACTGTCCCTATACCTTTGGTTCTTTTCTTCCTATTTCACATTGCTAATTGTCCCGTTAGGATCTTGAGTACTATTTTAGTTTTTCATACCAGAGAAACTATTCGGTATTTGGATATGTGTGACTTATTTATTTCACTTAGGAGTATATCCTCAAATGTACCCATTTATCTATGAATGACTCTAATTTTTCATTCTTTATGACTGAGTAGTATTCCATTTTATAGAAAAACCACATCTTCTTTATCCAGTTTCCAACTGATGGGCAGATGGGCTGTTTCCAAATTTTAGCTGTTACAAATTGTGCCGCTATAAACATGGGTGTGCATATATCACTGTGGTATGATTCTTTTAATTCTTTTGGAAAGATACTTGGCAGAGGGATGGCTGGGTCAAATGGAACCTCTAATCATAATGTTTTGAAATATTCCTTTACTAGAGGGCATTTGGGTTGCTTCGTTTCTTGGCTGTTATAAATACTACTGTGGGTGAACCTTTGGGGGTACATACAACCTTTTTCATGCTGTGGATGATTTTTCTGCCAGTGGATATTAAGAACAAATGATCAGGTCAAGGACTGTCTTAGAGATGTTGGTGCATTTAGGATGGGTGGCAGAAATGGGTTGGTGGGGCAGGAGGATTGCAGTGTGGGTGACACCCGAGTTTCCGGCTTGGTGGTTAGTGAGTGGTTGGCACAGGTTAGTGCTATTCGGTTGGGAGGGGGTCCCATCCTCAGGCTGCTGGGTTGCAAGGCTGGGGCCTAGGGAGGAGCCTCCTGTGACTCTTGGTGGTTGGAGCTGTGGGTGCTCTTGGCGACTGTAGCAGGGCCAGAAGGTGGAGGATCAGACTCAGGGGAACCTTGTTTTCAGAGAGGAAAAGGAAGGAGAAGCCACTCGGGAGTGTAAGTGGTCGCTGGAGGTGGAAATGCCCTCATGGAAGTCGGGAGGGAGGTGTTTTGGGGAGGCGTCTAGAGGAAGCACACGGGTGGTGGCGTTTATTTGAGGTGGTTTTGGGGGCACGTGTCGGTGATGATGGGGTCCTAGCGGAAGGTGGCGGCTCTCAGAGGTGGCCGTGTCAGAAACCTCAGCTGGCATAATTAAACCCCACAGGCTGGGTGGCTAAAACAGTGGAACGTATTTTCTCACAGTCTGGAGGCTAGGTGTCCAAGATCGGGCTGTTGGAAGGTCTGGTTTCTTCTGAGGCCTTCTGTGGCTTGTAGGTGGCCGTACTGTGTTACGTGGCCATCCCTCGCTCGGTCCTGTCTGTGTCTTGATCTTCTCTTATAAGAATCCACCCCAATCACCCGTTTAAAGGCCTTGTCTCCAATACAGTCACATTCTGAGGTACTGGGATAAGGGCTTCCACACAGGAGCTCTGTGGGGGCAGAATTCAAGCCCTAGCAGACGGATTCCGGGTTGAATGTTCTACTTTCCTCCTTGCTCCTCCTCATCCTCCCCTTGGTCACACTTTGATCCCTTGGCATTGGTGGCCTGTGCTCTGCATCTCCTCCTGGTCCTTTAGGGCCCACTTCCGGAACGTCCAAACCTTGGTCCTCTTCTCTCCCTGGAATCAAGTCCATCTGTCTACACCTCCTCTGTCCTGGGAGTAAAGCGTTTGCTCTTCCGCGTGTCATGGGCTCCGGTCAGTTTTATTCAGTGGTGTGAGGGAGCCATTGTATAATCCTGTTCTCATGTCTACTCTTCGCTCACAGTGGGAAAATTTTTTTTTAAATTGGAGGAACATGGATTTAGGTCAAGGTTCAGTAAAAATGTACATTTGATTTTGCTTCCTATTTTGCAAATGAATATTTTTCTCCTGAGAGTTTGGGTTTGGCTTCCTTTCAAGAGCTAAGAGAAGACTTGAGTGGGTGGCTGTCCTAGTGCAGTGAGGGGGCGGAATTGTATTTTGTGGGGGATATGGTATCACTGTCCTTTTTCCGGAAGGGCTTCTGTTTATTTACTTTCTAGAGTTAAAGTTTAGTAGCAGTTAAGATGATCGCGCAGGATGCTGTGTGGGGAAACCTTTATGTGGGTGATACTGGTGAGGGGGTTGGGATGGACTTGTGAGTTCAACTGTGGTTGTTTCGGATCGTGCGTGTGTGCGTGCGTGCGTGCGTGTGTGTGTGTGTGTGTGTGTTGGTCCATTTTCTGTTACCACAACTGGTTAATTTACTTAACAAAAGAGTTTATTTTGACTCAACATTCTGGAAGCTCAGGGGCCAGGCATCAGCACCTACTTGACTTCTGCTGAGGACTTCGTGGCAGAAAGTGGGAGGCAGGTGGACCCATGTGGAAGACAGGGGGCAGACAGACAGCTGGAGAGGGAACTGTCTGTCCCCGTGAGCACTGAGCTGACCTCAGTTGAAAGACACTGTCAATGACCTGGTCACCTCCTCAAAGCCAGCCGCCCCTCAGTGCCATGACAGCGGGGGATTAAGTCTTCGCATGTGTTTTGGTGGGGACAAATGACATTTAGACCATAGCATTGTATTTACATGGTGTTCCTCTCAATCCTGTAGTTGTTGAAATGCAGTACGTCAACATTATCTCCACACTTATGAAAGATCATAACTTCAGAAGAGACAGAAAATCACATTTCTGAAGGTACCTAAATCATGTTTGTAAGTCTGTCTACTGAGAGAGTTAATTTTTCTAGGGTGTTACTCTTACTGCCCCATGCCACCCGGGGGGGCAATTAGGTATGTACCACTGGTGGTTCAACTGGTGGAAGCATGTTCAGTGATGTAAACAAGTACGGCTGTACATTTGGGGGCAGAATAAACATAGTTGTTGGATAGACGTAGTTTGAAAAGTTGACCAGATTTTTAACTTGGCAGCAGGGTGCTACCCTTCATCCTTGGACTGGCCTAGGCCCACAGCTAGAAAACAGTACAAGCCCTTACTGGATTCACAGCCTGCTGGATTGGTTGGCATCTCTTTTCCTCAAAATAAAGTGCATTAGCTGATGCCTGAAACCACGGGTGCCCAGAGGCGGAGGTGACCCTGTGATGTGCTGTCCCGCTTCTGTCCCACATACACACACGTGTGAGATCATCCAGACCTGGACATGCCACTTTCCTTATTGTTGCAGTTTCATAGAATGACTTTAAACATGCTTCAGAAGAATTCTTGTTTCTACACAAGTCTATTTGAATACTTTGGAAATCGCCTGCTGACTCGGTTGCAGCCAGAGTAGGAACCACTGAGATCAGGGCGAAGGCTTTTGGGATCACAGAATGAAAACATCTGTAAGGTTATCGTCCATCATTCAGGATCGGTGAGTTCAGTTGCATTTGTAGAAAATCCGGGACTCCCTGTGGCTGTGAGCAGTAACCTGTCACCTTTTGTCCAACCTGGGTTCGGAGGTGGCTCTGCTCCAGGTTGTCCTCTTCCCTCCTCTGGACCTGGGTGGTGGAGCTGCAGCCTGGGGACGGTGGCGTCCTTGCCCCGGGGGAGGCAGCTGTGATGCAGCTGTGGGCCGCGCTTGGGAGTCAGCTGGCGGATGTGTGATCAGACCCGGGAAGGCCATGGGTGTGGCGAAGGGGAAAGCCACGGCCCTCGCAGTGCTTCCCAGGTACCCTTGTCCTCTCCACTCTTCACACAGGCTTGATGTCCCATTGGGCAGCTCCTGACACTGCTGGCCCAGACAGCTCTGTCACTTTCATTGGTCTTTTTACTAATAAAATGAATAAAAAGCCATTCTTCTTTGCCAAGGTGATTGCTCTAACTCTAAAGGGAAGTGTGACTGAGTCCTCAGTGTGAGGTAGACCAGATGTCCTGTGTGAGTTCTTGCTTTATTGGGTCTGTGTTTTCTTGAGTGCTTTCTTTGCCCCTCAAGATTGCAAATGCCTGGGAGGTAGATCTTTCTTGTCTCTGGATACTGGGCATCCAGGGCCGAGCAGTAGCTGTGGATAGGAGGAGACTCCAGCACTCGGAATCCTGCAGTTCAGTCCTGGCTGGAGGCTCAAGCCGATTCTTCCTACCCCGGGATGCTGACCTACTTTCCCCTTCTTATCTGTGTGCAAAATATTTGTTGTACTTAGTGTGTTCTCTCTGTCACAACGAATGTTTGTCTCTCCCTTTCACATGAGACTGAAAATTTAAAAGGAGTTCGAAAGTGCTGGTTCAATGGGGGGAGAAAACAATGGAGAAGAGTTGGTAAGCAGTTTTAATTTCTAAACCAGGGGCAGCTTGTACGTATGTCATTTGAAAAGAACTCTAGTTTCTCTGTCTTCCTTAAAGGTAGAACTGTCTAAGGGTAGAACTGTAAATTTTAAGTTTTTATGCCTTTTACATTTAAGTATTTACAGTCTAATAATATATTTAGAATTTCTTTTTGATAAACAACTTGTAGAAGGAAGTGAACTTTTCTTAATCAGGATATTACAGTGTAGTTTGCTGTTGAGTATTTTATTTCTTTTTTTTTCTTTATTGAGTTTATTGGTACATTTTAGGTATAGAGTACAGTTACATTCATCATTGGGCTCTTGTACCTTTACATGACAGGTGTTGGTTCTCATTTTTTTCCCCTTCCCCCTGCCCTCCCTTCTCCCCCTCCTCCCCTCCCCATTTACAAACATTTTATTTCCATTTTTTCATTTCTGTCATTTTTTTCTTTTCCCTTATTACCTTTCCCCTACCCTTCCCACTTTCCCTACACCTTTAGCCCTTTTCTTCCTCTTCCACATGGTCAATTATCTCATGAGTATTTTATTTCTTACCAAAACTTCCCTGGGCTTAATTTGTCTTATAGGTTCATATGTGGTTAAACTGATTAACTTTAAAAGTGGGTTTTTATGTAACTTTTGGTGTGCTGGATTGAAGGTCAAAAAAAAGTGTGGACTTTGGTGCACACCAATATGTGAAATATCTGCTGTAACCAGAACCTTTAAATATTAGCAGAGCTATTATTCACATTTATGTAACACAAATGTAAATTTTGTAAACATAAACTTTAGTACACACTTTATGTGTGGCTTAAAAATGTACCTAGTTAGGGCATGCGTAGTAGGCGGATTTATTGTGTTCCATATCTTGTAGGTCTTCATGAATACTACAGAATGCACTTAGAAATATGTATGAATTATAATGCCTCTGATTTTAAGTAATACTTCCAACATTAAAGGTAAAATTGGAAATTGATACAGAAATTGCTTCCAAATCCTAATGTGATTGTTATTTTAATCAGTTTAGGTGAAGTGGCCACTTAGCTATTCTCTTCAAAAATTCTTTCAAGTGACAAAGTAGTTTTGCTGTCTGAGTTTACATTGTAAGAGTTTTTGTTTGTTTGTTTTGATCACTTCTCACCTAGTAAACATTCACGAAATCCTAATGTACACGTATAAACGTCTCTCCTTTGGTTTACAGTCTACGAGACTTTATTTCAGTAGCGAACTGAGGGATCTACGTTTTTATTATTCTGAAAAACTGTGTTCAGCTCTGAAGCTATCTTGTTGAGTAATGCTTATTTTTCTCCATTTATCTATTTATTTTGTTGGGGATCGAACTCGGGACCTTGCGCTTGTGAGGCAGGCGGTGGCACTCACTGAGCTAAATCTCCAACCCTGTTTTTCTCCTTTTTAATGTTTAGGTTCCTTAACTTGTAACCTTTGCCTTCTCAACTAATTACTTAGTGAAATACGCAGCTGGTGCCATTTTGCAGCTTGCTGTGGGCGCCTAGCTTTCCTCACCATGATCCGTTTGTTCACGGGCAGTGCTGAGCTGTACCCTGTGCAGATTTTTCAGTACATTTTTTTTTAAAATGATGGGTTCAGAATAAAGAGAGCCGCTTGGCATTTGCTGGCTTTTTGGTTTCTAACATTCTTGAGAATCCCAAAAGGAAGCAGCTCAGAGTTTCCAGAATGGAGCCTTTCTTGTCAAGTCAACAGTGATGGAAATTGGGACAGGATGTTAGCAGATGTGTTGTACACTTCGTGGGGAAACTGAGGCATGGCGATGGACATGTGCCCCAGGTCTTGCTGTGAGCTCGCCTCCGAGCTGTGTCTCCTGCCTGACTCTTCCGATTTTGGGGGTCCCCCATGGCGTGTTGTGGGATGCGAAGGCTGCTTTTTCTCGGAGGGGCCCCGCCCTGCCCGTGACAGGAAGTCCTATGTGAGTTGCGTACCTGCTGCAGAGCCCTGCGCTCTTGGCTCTGAGAGCTGCTCCTTGAGCGATCAGATGGCCGACCAAGTATGGAGAGAACACAGGACTGCAGAGGTGGCTCGGTTGGAGCGCAGCGCGTTCACTTTGCAAGCCACGTAAGCTCAGGAACGGGGCAGACAAGGGGCCGAGGACTTCGGGGAGAATATTAGCACAGGAACGCACCAAGCTGGGACCCTCGAATTAATAAGTGCGTTCATTTGGGAGGGAAGCTGGCTTCCTCTGGTGGCCGTATTCTGTTTAGTAATTACTGGCGGTTCTCGGCAGCTGCGTCCCTGCCAGGACCAGGCAGAGCTGTCCGGTGTGTGGAGTATATTTGAGCGGTTTTGCACTCACCCAGAGGTTCCAGCGTCTCTCTTGGGTTTGCCAACCTAAACACATTTGACTTCTTGGAAATATATTTTTTTTTATCTGCCTTGAGGGAACAAATTGAGAAGTCTATGGGTTATAATTAGCACATTCCCTCTTACAGCTGAGTTTGTGTTTCTGGGTAGAACAGTGGTTTATAGTTTTTGGCTACCTTGTCCGGCAGGGACCCGCAGTCCTTCAGACGTGAGCTCATTGACTCTCGTAACATTCAGTGTGAGGTGTGTGCTAGGGCTGCAGGTCCCCTGAAAGCCAGGGCTGCCTGCTGCCCCTCGTGGACCTTCTGGGGTTGGGGCAGGTGAGGGTGCCACTGTAGAGGGCTTGGGGTGCTGGGTGAGGCTTTCTGACCAGGCCTTGAAGAGGTGGCCCTTTCTGAAGTTGCTGTTCCTGCCGAGTCTGTGCAGAACTTCCTCCGGGAAATGAGTGTGGAGCGGTGGTTAGTGGTTTGGGAAGGTCTGCTGCCAGTGAGGCCAGTCCAGGTTGGTTACCTGGGCACACCTGCCAGAAGGCAGGACAGAGCTCTTCAGGCTCAGATGGAGAAGTGGCAGTCAGGGCACTTGCATCTGGTGAGTTGGCTTTCCCAGCCAGGCTGTGTTACAGTCCTGTGGAATAGATGTTGTCATCGCCGAGTTTGTAGCTCAGAAATTTGGAACAGCAGAGATGAATTGCCTTGGACTTGAGCCTCTGTCCGTGTTTGCAGAGCTTGGGCTGTACTGTATCACGTGGATCAGAAGGGTCCCGTGTGGCACATTGTGGCTGTGAGATGTCTGCACCGTGGCAGTGATGCTGCTCTTGAAAAGACTCTGGGCTGTTGGGGAGAGTTTGACAATGTGGACATCAGACTGAAGGCCACGCAGGTCGTCTGATAAGTGGGAAAGACCACTCTCAAACCAGCCCGTACAATCCATCTCATTCTGGCTGTTCCAGAGCTGGGAGGACTGACACCTCCCGGGCTGATGGTCATCTGATAGAAAAAGGTCTTGTCCTTGTTCCTTGCAGATTTTGTTCATATGCCAGGAAACACTTGGTAGCCAGTCATCCAGAACCTTCAGTGTGGCCATAGCAGTCCCCCTCCTTAAGTCAAGCCTTCTAATGAATTCAGCTGATGCTGATCACATTCATTTTCTGCAGATGGAAAAAAACATTGCCCTCCTGTCACTTTATGAAATATAAAGTTCTAGGTGTTTTCAAATCCTTTTCAACTGGCCTGTGCCCGGAATGGAGGGTCTGTGAGCTTCTAGTTGGTGGCTTTTGTTTGTAAAGCAGTGTTTCCGTGCCCAGACAGAAACCAACCTTGACCCTGACCCGTGGTGGTGCCCAGCCGCTCTTTGGGTCTGTAGCTGTCCTGTAGGGCTTTGCCCTCAGGAAACCGTCCAGCCAAGGACCCCCCTCCCCCATCACGGGGCTTTCTCAGGCTGGAGACAGGCTTTATGGCACGTGTGCTTCCATTTGCTTTAATCCATTTGTTTGTTTTCACTCCTGTTCAGATCTCTTTGATCCTTATTGCCTGTTAACCTAAAGTCCCTTGTCTTATGCAGAGTTGGAACATGGAGAGCAATATACTCTTCGGAAATTGCCCTGTAGTTGGGCCTGTTTCTTCCCTAATCTGAGATTCTAATGAAAGCTCTCCCAGTAGCAAGCCATTAAATATTCTTAGCAGAGAGCTTCAGAGAAAGTGAGGAGGTGCGGAAACCCTTGCTAGCTAGTGGCTCGAGCAGTGAAATAAAAGCTTGGAAAATCGTGTAGCTGTGATTTGTGAAGTAAATCCTGTGGGAAGACACACCTGGAATGAAGATCAGGCGTCTGAGCCCTTTCACAAAGCCGGGTTGGCCCCATCTTCCATGCTCTGGTCAGCCCTGTGAAACGCCGTGGAGTCAGCATGGCCTGCTAGCCCTGACTTCTGCTTGAGTAAAGTGTCCTTAGGAGTCCAGTTCCCACTCTACTCACTCTCTAGGTTGGTAAATGCTGGACAGGTATCTCCCGTTGGTTCTGACCCTGATCCGGGCTCTCTGATGATCCTGTGCGTCGTGAGGGTGGGGTGGCGGCGGTGGGACCGACACAGGATGGAAGCACGGGTCATGCCTCTCTGATGTGTTCACTCGCCTACTCGGCACCCTGTGTGCCCGCCACTCTGCCAGGCAGGAGGGACTTTGCGTGTGGAGAACCCAAGCTGCCTTCTCCAAGGAGGAGCACACAGGCAAACCACAACTTGTGAGGGGAGGTGTGTGGTGGTGCTGTGCTTGGCTGCTAGGACACCAGAGACTGGCTGGCGTACACAGCAAACGTTCGTTTCTCACAGTTAAGGAGGCGGTGAGGTCCAAGGTCGTGGAGCTGGCCGGATTGGTTCCTGGTGATGGTCTTCGTAGCCTGTGGACAGCAGCTTTCTCAGTGTCACGCAGATGGTGGGACAGAGATTCTGAGAGCTACGGTCCCTCCTCCTCTTCTCAGAAGGATATCCATCCCATTATGCCCCCTGCCCTGTTGGCGACCTTACCTAAACCCGATTCTGTGCCTTTGCCTCACCTTGGTCACTCTGGGTAGGGCATCCACACAGGAATGTGTGAGGACACCAGCTCCATCCTGAATGTCGGCTCGCATTCCTTGGGCCGGGGGGCCCGAGGTGTGAGGGTCTA